TTCGATGTGATATGCTCTTTCTAACGGGACGATTTGATTTTAGAATTAGAATTTAATTTTAAAATTCTCAAAGGAAACCAAATTTTTCAAAACCTGTTTTTCGAAATTCCACCAACAACGGTCAAATTTGAAAATTTCAATTTTCTAAATGGTTTTTTGTATCATTTTTATAAAAGGTCCACTAAAAACTAACACTTAATCTTTTTGTCACTTTGTCTTCGTGATTGGTAAATGGCAATTGAAGGAGAGAGTGTTTGAGAGATATTTCTTCCTAGTTGAGCATGAAGGGTTCATAAGATTACTCAAAGGTAAGGATCTCTGTGTGTAATTTTTGTTTCTTCACTCTTCCTCTTGTCTTTCTAGATTGCTCGTACTTTCAAGAAGATCCAGTTCTCTGCCGACACTTGGAGAGTGTGAACAGCCAAGGGTTCTCTGCCTACACTTGGAGAGTGTGAATAACCGAAGGTTATCTGCTTACACTTGGAGGGTGTGAATAGCCGAAGGTTCTCTGCCTACACTTAGAGGGTGTAAAAGAACAAATGTTCTTTGCATATACTTGGAGGGTGTGAAAGGACGACGGTTCTCTACTGCACTAGGGCTTGGTGGAAGAGAGTTTTGTAAAGACTTATCTGCCTTACTGTGGGAGTAAAAGAAGAGTCACTATAATAATAATGCAATACGTGAAGTAGAAGACTTCAGGGAGTGGATGTAGGTCGTGTTTGACCGAACCACTATAAAATTTTGTGTCTTTTTATTTCTCGCTGCTTTTAATTTCTGCAAGTTTATATTTCTGTGGTTGAAAATTTATTTTACAAATTTTAAAATCAACTTGCTCAGTTTATTAATCATCTTCACCTTTTAAATCCAAGAAGGTTTAAAATTTCAAAATTACCAATTCACCCCCCTTCTTGGTTAGCCTTGGGACATTAGTTTAGGTCTAACAACCTATTCTAGATTCAACAAGTTTCAACAAATATACTTTTCTGGTCAACAATTCATATTAAAGGTCATGGGTAGGATCAAAGATCTTGGGAAAGACCCTAAGATCAAATTCTATTAAATGGAAAATCCACGTGCATAGGTTGTAAATATTTCAAAGTTTTATAGCCTTTGAAAACTAATTCAATTTTTGAGGCTAGGGGCCTTAGATTGAGCTCAAATATGGCGAGTTGACCCTATGGACATACCTAATCAATATGTAATTGATAGACCCTAAATCAGAGAGCATTTGATTGGGTATCAAGGTGACAGAAAAATCACCTAGAGAGGGTTTCAAGACATGGGTCCCTACCTTGAGATTTGGCTTATAATATTGGATTTGGATTAGATTTTGGGATTTTAATGGTTGAGTTTGAAATATCTATATCAATGACAATCAAATGAGTGATTGAGATTGATTGGATATGATTTTAAGGTTAATTGAAGGTTAGACTAGAGTTTGGAGTTGAAAATTGGATTGAAAATTGAATTGGAAAGTGGACTAGAATTTAATTAAAGACTAGATTATAATTTGACTGGGACCTACATGATTGACAAGTGAACACCTGCCAATCATCATGTCACAAGGGGGGACCCAGGTAGGTCCTAGTGACCTCATACAGAAATGAAGTCAACACCAAAGTAGCTTATTATATAGCAAATTCATTTGACACATTAGATGCATCATAACTAACTTCAAAAGAAATAGGCTAATGCATGAGACAATATTCATCATGAGGAGTTCTCCACCTGTTCAAAGGTCTTAGACTCTTCTTTTTTATAAAAAATAAACAAGTAAAAGAGGGATAGGGATAATGTAATTATTGGTAAACCTAAAATTTTATAAGTATGACTAGTTATTCTGGTATGTGATCCCAATAAGGGCATCATATTGATATCCTATTAGTGCTTCTAGTATGTGAATAAAAAGGAATCATGCCACATGTAATTATGGATGGGTTGCTCATATTTACATGTGATTCAATTCATCATAAGCTTAATTTTAAAAATAGCCTTATAGTCAAGGAAACCTCAAGTTGTAGACCCAATCTCAAGCAACTCTTTCCTTCTTTAGGGGTATTATATGCCATATCTCATACATGCAATTGTAGATTAGTTTGTGAAATACATAAAAGATTATATTTAATAGATAAAATAGCAAATATAATACTACACAATATATTTCATCCGCATGAAGGATTTTATATGTTGTTAGTTTGACGATTTTTATGTGAGTAAAGCCTTATGGTTAATAACCCATCCAAATAATATTAAAAGAGAAGTCTACATTAAGAATTATTGAAATCCTTTATTTTAATTTCATGATGCCATGGCTTCCCATTTTGGCTTGACTCATTGCATGTTGCTCTTATGCTTAAATAGATAATGGAGGAATGATGGGGGACTTCATTAATATTTCATGATTTTATTGTTAAAAGTTTGCCAATATAATTCATTCTAAATAGTCAAAAGTTACTAATTTATGGACCCTAAACTTAGGGATCTTTATTAGCCAAAACGTCAATCGCTCGAGTGACAACTTTACAAAAATCCAACTTTATGAAAAATATTGAATAATAAAGAGTTTCATATACTCCTATATAATGAGTTCTCCCTCCCATACTTATAGTTTTGTACGAACAACACCCCTATGTACTCCTACAATGACTCTATGAAGAAAAGTATAGATTTTTTATAGAATTGACGATATAAAAACTAACGAAATAGCTTAGGCATGTCTCATTCTTTATTGACTTCTAGAATGACTACCAACTTTCAAATGAAATTGAAAGAGAAATTTGATGTAAACGAGATTTTTATATAAAAAACAAAGTTATAGAGAATTTTTTCTGAATGCATTTTCTTGTTGACCTAAGTTTTGATAGGAATAATTCTAGTTTCTGTGTGACATCCTATGAATTGAAGACAAATTTGTGTGTTCAACATTATATTTGCCGTTTTTATCCTCTTGAATAAACTCTTCAGATCATAAAAATGCTTCGAGTATGTCTTACTTTCCATTAGGAGATCATTAATATATCATGCTTTGTAGTTGGTCATTGAAGAATTGGGCCATCAAATTCAAATATGTTACTCGAACATTCTCCAACAAAAAAGGCACAATCTTGTTACAACATATGTCAATAGTCAATATCATGTTGATCGTTAGCCCCATTATAAAAATTAGAAAACATACTTTGTTGAAATCCTATAAGTCAATACTCATATGAATCTGCCAACTCTTTTTCATCAAAACACAAATGGCTGTTGAGTTGGCATACTTCTCTCAGGTTAACTTGCATATGATGAAATAAATTACAACCAACTCAAAATTGCTTTATTTTGAGATGGATTGTTCCAAGTTGATCAATTATATCATGGTTCAATCAAATCTCCGGCTGTCATTGAATCAGTTTAAGTTTGGATTGTTAAAAACCTTATTTAAGTTCAAAAATTATAAATCTAAGCAATAATATTAAGGGATTTTTACATACATAACACTTCAAACTTTTATATTTACTTATCTAACACCAAAAGTATGCTATTTACATACCTACCACCTAAAAACACTCCGTTTCATCTAAATTATCACTCCGTCAATAGTCAACCTCGACTCTGCCTTTCCAGAGTGAAATCCCTTCTTCTTCATCATTTGAGTATCTACCGACCTTGCCTTCGACGTGCAAAAACCAAACCAAGAAGATCACCCTTCGCCTCTTCCTCACTCTCAGTTTGAGCTTATCTCTATTCGTTTCTCCAATCCCAAGCGTTCATGTGGAGAGAGGATCATGGTGTTTTTTGTCTACTCCATTTCTTATTTTCTATCGAGATCGAAAGTTCAGATCGGAGCTGGCGGCTAAGGCATGATATCTATTTCTACTGGTAGAGAGTCATCGTCTTCTAGTTTTTTTTTCCCGTTAGACATGTTCTCTAATTCTGCTAACAAGAATTTTCATAAGTCCTACTCAATTCTTGTATAAATCCTGTATCCAAACAGATTCAATCTGAAAAATCTCAATTGGAGCAACTTTCACTTTAGTCAAATATGAACAACCATACACCCTAATTTGCACTTCCCTTGCCAAATCAGATCAATTCCCCTAAGATTGAATTATTGCTAATTTTATCCTCGAATATCTGCTTAGAACAATAGGCACGACAGTTGAGGCAACGATGGAGGAGGAGATTATCGAAGCAATGATCTTGAGGATCGAACACAAGTCGAAGAAAATTGAGAATTTGCTTAGGTAGTTAAGTGAATCGAAAAGCTAGCCCCAATGACCAATACAATTTTCTATTTTTTCCAATTTCTAGATTGGTTTTCAACTTAAAGCCTGTTGTTCTTGAAAATGCTCTGATCAAAGCTAGTTGAGGCGCTGAAGACGGCTTTGGAGGTGTCTCCAACTAGTACCGAGGATCAGCGGAGCTAGGTTGACATTACCTCTTCTTTTAGTTTTTCAAAATGCTCATATTAAAGCTTCGATGCGTGAAATAAGCTTCCGTCTCCGATGCACGAAGATACCAGTGGTTGGGCTGATCGGATTTTTTCTTCACGACGAGCTCCAGTCTATACTTCCAATCTGATAGCACAGAAGAAAGAGAGAAAAGACAAAGAGCAAACCTGTTCTCGCAATGAAGACTCAACAGGTCGAGCAGATAGGTAACAAAGTGGTAATTTTGATGAAACAGAATGTAAATGGGTGGTAGGTATGTAAATAGTAAACTTTGGGTGTTAGATAGATAAATAAAATAGTTTGAAGTGTTATGTATGTAAAAATTCCTAATATTAAAGGAAGCTAAGCCAAGTCAAGGAATGAAAGCTACCTAAAATTTTTGGTTAGATCATTTATAAAATCTTCATTCATACTGCATCAAGAACAAATTTTGTTTGCTCCACCAATGAGCGGACTAATGAAAATCGCACCAACTCTTAAAAGTAGATGTCAGGAGCTCAAAAGTCAAAGATCCACAAGGAAACAAAAACAAATCAGATTGCTGATCAAATTTATATTAGCAGGATGAAATAGAAAATCAAATAAGTGGACTGAAACTGAATCCATTTGAAGAATTATTCCAACTGATTAAGGTTTAAGGATTTATGGTTTATTCTTCAGCTACATAAAAACCAAAGTTTGCTTTTCTTTCAGGGAAAAGAAAAGAAAAGAAAAGAAAAACATTAAGCATACTATGAGCATAGAGCATAACGCTGCAACTTTATGCAGAGGTCACAAACCTGGAAATTAAAGCATAAAAATAACTACGAAGGAGTAATTCAACAGATCCTATATTGCTTCTGGATTCTTCAGCAAGTATGCTTCTCAAACTTTGATGAACTAATCTCTCTTCATCCTAAAACTTTACAAATTTACCTCAAATTCTGTGAGTGTACAATGGAGGATTCAAGGGTGTAGCAGCAGGAGGCCTGAACAAAAATGGTCCAGGCAAAAGAGTGGCTGGAACTTCCAAAGAGCTCCCTTCATTGCTCAGATAAGAGGAAGTAGAGCCAATCTCTCTGAGCAAAAGCTGGTTCTGAGGCAAAAAGTAAGGGTATGGCCCCTGAAACATTGTATGAGAAGCTTGTACAGGTAACAAAGTACCTCTCATCATCATATCAGTATTTGAGGAGCCATCGAATACAATTACCTCCTTTGTCACATATGCTTTATGGTTCATATTGCTTTGATTAACATTGTTGCGAACCTGCATATTTGTCATCAGTGGAACTGGGCTGCAAACTGCAAAGGGGAAGTTTTCATGGTTTGGAGCTCTGACATATGAAGTAAAACTTAATGGTGAAGGCAAACTCGGAGCAGCTGAGTTGTTATCTTTAGCTGGAGAATCAATCTTTAGAAGATTAGAAGACTCTTCATTGTGAGTAACCATTAAGTTCTTACCCATCAACCTAAGGATGGAATTGGTGCTAGACTGTGAAGGTGTTCCACATGATGGGCTTGTTGAACCAACAGCACTACAACTCCTTGTCATGATTGACCCGGTAGGAGATTCGAGGGATGTAATATTTCCTGCGTCAGTATGCAAAATCGAGTAGGCACCAAAGGGCGCAGAGATACTTGGTCCGATATGCAGATTTGGAATCAACTTTGGCTTCGAAGTTGGCATGTTACTAGCCATGATGCTTTGCCTGGAGCAGCAGCAATGATGATAGTTTGATTGCAGCTGCGATTTATTCATGGTGAAATCCATCTTACATTGCTGATTGTGTTCTATATCTGATAATTGAGCTTCTTCATTATCTGCCATATATCTCCCCAGATTTCCACGAGCGGCTAAAGGCTTCAATAGCAATTCTCTATCTGATGCTTTGGTAAAAGAAACGTTTAGAAATGCAGGAGATATGGAAGAACTCGAAACAGGAGATCCAGATGGCTCTCTATTAATAGCCAAATTTCTTTCTTGATTTGGTACGACTGGAGCTGAGGCTATAGAACAGTTTTGTCTTGGGGTATCAGGCGCCAGGTCTCCATGGCTGGTTAAACAAGCACTGGATTCTGTGGATGCAGCTCCAGCTTGAGATTTCACACCTCTATTTTCCAATTTATCTGATGTTTTTTCATTTTGTTTATCAAGAAACACTCGCTCCATTGATTTTTCACAATCTTTCGAAGGCAGAATTTGACTTGTTTTATCATCTAAATCCAACAGAAGAACTGGGAGAATTTCACCATTTACAGATTTAGCTATTATGGCACCACCGTCAACTTTATCTGACGAAGCTCTAGTAAACTTAATGAAGCCCATATTCTGATTTTGCGATACGGAACTTTTAGTTTTAACATCTTGGCACTGACAGCTTCCTGAAAGTAAACATCGTTCAGAAATTTCATCATCTAAAAAACTTGTGATGGAAGCCTCAACACATCTTTGTTGTTCTTCATTGCTGCCAGAAGAAATCTCTCTTTTCCTCTTATTCTTACGAAGCATTTTGGTGCTGACGTTAGACTTGGATAAAGTAGAAATCTTTTTAGTTTTCTGCGAAAGATTACGGTTTTCAGTTGATCTATTATTTGTTTCAGGAAAATCAGCCGAATTTTGTTTTCTGCCCATAAATAAATCATCATTTCTACTGTTTTTGGAAGTAACCAAAGCTCCAGATGCTTTCGCCAGTTTCAGGCGGAGAACATTCATTGAAGTACCTTTTGAAGAACATCCTTGAAGACTTTTCACCTCATTCGGCTCCAGGTTTTGAAGAGGAGCATTAGCTGGGAAGTCCTCTATCTTGGATTTTGGTGTTTGGGAGAGTTTCATAAAATGTCTTTTTGCAGAAGAAAAGGTACCTGAAGCTGAATTTGTCATCTCTAGGTTTGTAATTTGACTCACAAATTCGCCTGGCTTAACCATGTTTTTGAGGAAGTTTGACTTGCATATTTTTTTGGGTAGATCAGAGCGTTTAGAACAATGCCACTTCTGTAAAGTTAAAGTTCTACAGCTCATATGAGTTTGCTCCGCTTCACCTGATAATTGATCTGCTGATTCTTCTTCTTGATGAGATTCTTCATTATGATTAACTTCTGGTGCTGCCTGGATATTTGATGTCAAATCATGCAGTAAACGTCATCAAATATCGAACTAAGAAGCAAATAAAAACTTAGATGCCATGGACAAATCTCTATGACAGCGAATTAAGAACCGTGAAAAAAATCACACTTAAAATAAAATAATATAATTGAGAAACAACTTTCTAATAGACGAACATAAGAAATCTATGAGCTGCAGTGTATTTGCTTATATACGAAAATCATTTTGATTAACTCAACATTATATATATAACAAGAACAAATAAAGCATAAGTTTATGAAAGTATAGAAAACCAATCCGAGTTGTAACAAACTCGGATGTTATCAACCTTTCCTTAAAAGAACAGCAGAAGCTACTTTATGATCAGTTCAAAGTCCAAAAAACGAAAGTAATCAAATGAGATTAGCCCTATTAACATGTCAATTCAATTTAATTTCAATGAAAAGAAGTATCAAATAAGCTTACAAAAAAACATATAATTGAATAAATTATAATGCATCAGTGCACACATACCTCATTTTTTAACAGCTTTAAGGAACATAATTTCTTGTTCTTCATTTTCAACTTCATTTTCTTCAGATGTTTTTCCCAAACAAAGTATTTCTTCTGGCTAACCAAACTGGTCTTTCCATCTCTAACCAGATTAATATTCTTACTTGGCTTAAACACATTCTTTGATATTACTTGGGGAGCATCATTGAACTTTGACAATATACGAAGCTTAATTCCATTTGAATCAACGTAAACTGCCCCTTCACTCCTGTTATCTCTAGCATCGACTTGTGAGATAAATTTAAGCCTTTTAGTCACTGTGTTAGCTTCAATAGGGGGAGTTATCGAAGTTAAATCCGTAGCCCAGCTCGTACCATTCCTCCTATCAAGATCTTCAAGCGAGCAATGGGGAGCAGTGGCATAAATATCCTCCATCAGCCTTTTCTTTGTCGGCTTTACCAAAAGCTTTGGAGTTTTATCCACGATCTTAGTAGCATCAGATGACATGAAAAGACACTGATCCATATGAGCATTCAAAGTGGTGTTTGAGGTGGAAGAAAATGTCTTGCACACAGGGCAAACCTTTGATGCCATGAGATCTGAAGCTGTAGAAGTAGATGCAATCTCTTCTGCTCGACTTGTCTCGGAAATAGCACCTGGTTTTAGGACCAAAACACAGTGCTGCACGACTGGTTCGGAGCCTAACTGCGTCGAGAATCTCTCAAAAGCACACTGATTTGTCAACGTTGAGCCAATTTCATAATCTTCATTAATCAAATCATATCGTTTATCTTCCTCACTCAAGTATCGACTATTGTCATTCTTTGCACAACTCAGCAACTTGTCATCTGACGGTGAAAATGAGATTATTTGAGTTGGATTATGTTCTTCATCTAGCAAAAACGTTTCTCCGACCTGAGATAAATTGACTCCGATATTCTTTTCAGTTTCGGCTGCTGAAGTTTTGCAAAAAAGGTCTCTCACTGAACTGGCTGGCTCGAAAGGTGGCAGTAGATCTTGAACGCCATGTTTCAGGCAAAGCTTCAATAATCGACGAGAAAATGGCCAACTGGTGTGATTGTTTTTACTTCTTGTTGCAAAAACATAGTCTCTGCCAAAAAAATGTAAATTTAATACAGTATTTAATAATGCATCGATTACTGGTGACAAAACAAACCAATTGGCTACTTTTTAAAACCTCCTACTCAAAATTAGCAGAAGGTTACATAAGAAATATTATCTACCTTCGATAGTGGGTCTTTTGTAGTTAAGCTTGCCCGTGAAACATTTTAGAAACATAATGATCATATGTAAGCTAATAATCAAAGAAACCCCATTAAATCTCACAGCTAAAAATAGATTCCCAAGAAACTTTAGCATCAAGAAAAAAAAAAAGTAAACTATTAATTAGATTAAATGAACCAGTTGATACAAACCCATAAAATAAAGATCTCCATAGAGAGGTGAGGAAAAGAAAAATCACAGAAGAAACAAAATTCAATGTAGATGGACCAGTCTCCAAACTGAAAGGGAATGAGCACAAATAATCTATTTGAGCACAATGGCAGCCTTTACAAATCTACTCTGACCAAATCCCAAAAGGTATCAGGTGGCTCTGCTAGAACATTCATATAATTCATGAACAAAAAGGAGAACCTCAGATCCATCACTGATTTAATTTGATAAGAATTTACACACGAAAAGTGCTCCTAAGCAATTGCCAGCCCACCAGACCATATTAATGATTGCATCTAAGAAAATATCATACATGAAGTATAATGATAAAAAAGTGAGGGCATAAACTGTATACCTTATGCAGAAATTAGGTATCTGTGTCTCACCAAAGCTTACTACTGCAGGATCTACCTCTTGAAGCTTCAGCTGCTCGGATTTCCTTTCATCAGCTCTGAGTTCTGAAACCTTAGAGGACGAACATGTGGGATCTGAATGGTATAACATCTGCAGAAAGGCTCTTCTCCTTGATGCTTTTTTTTTTCGATAATATATGTAGCCCAAGAGCAATACTGCAACTGGGCTTACTATTGCACTTAGCCTCCAGCATAACAGAAGGGTTTTAGCTCACAGAAAGGCCACCAAGTATCCAAAGGAGAAACAAAATCCCCACACCACAGAACTTTTCAACTGATCTAAAGATGCCTGCAAAAATGAAGAGAGATTTTGTTGAAAATAGATATTTGAGGAACATTCATTTACGTACTCAGTAACACATAAAATGAAAATTAGAATCCTCGACGAGGAACTTCTGGAACCTATCATTTTATGTGGACAAAGAGGTCAACAACACATAGTCGTCCACTAACAAGCCAGCAAGCAAGCAAGGAGTGGACAAAAGGGGAAGGAATGTTCATATTTCATGAGAAAAGTATGAGAAAAGTGAAAGCACAAGGGAGAGATTCTTCAAGCAAATGAAGAAAATAAGAGATCTGGAAAGAGAAATACATGAACAACATAAATAAGAAACGAAACAAAAAAACCGGATTTTTTTATTTGCGAATACACAGGAAAGAAGAAAGGTTATGAAGGACAGACAGGGAAAGAGGGGCAAAAATAAATAAGAGAAATCTTCAAGAGTCTTCAGATTTCGATATCGTTTGCATATATGTGGTTTCAGTCAAGTATTCTGAGAATATAACGGATGATTTGAATAGATGATCAAAAGAAACCAGCCGATTCCTGACTATGATCATCAGAAAATCTACAGTTAATCCTCCAGCACAGTCCGAAAAAAGTGGAAGTTTTAAACGCAAAACACAAGGATTCAAACCAAAGAAAAGGTAAACGAGAGAGAGAAAGGGGGGAGTTTGAAAAGAAGAGTTGTTTAGATAAAATCCTATGTTCAGCAGAATCCTTAAGAACCCATGGCTAACTTCCATGATAGAACCTCTTAGAGTGTCAGAAACTGTTGGGAAGATCTACAATAAAAAGGGAAAAAAAAAAAAAAAACAAAAACAAATAGAGAAATACGGAAGAAAAGAGAAGATAGGAAGCACAAAAAAGATAACTTTATTTACATAGCAAGAAACCCTTAAATCCTCCGTATACAAAGCTCACCCTTTCATGGACTCCCAACTTCGATCACAAAGCGAGCAAGCTAGCTTGGATGATACAGACAGGGATTCTGAAGAACATAGAGGGGAAACCACACAGATTATAAAAGAGAGACAGAGAGTGGTATTTTCCCGAGATGAGGAGAGGAATTTCTAGTTTTTCTTTGTACTGCCAATTGATAGGAGGAAAGAAAAAAACACCACCCACTCACACATCAAAGGCACTAGGTTCTTCTCCCTAAAGCCAGCGAGGCTCAATAGTAACAGACTAACAGGAGAGAGAGAGAGAGAGAGAGAGAGAGAGAGAGAGAGGAGGAGGAAGGGGGGGCAATAGAAACGAAGGGTCTTGTGGGCAGTCCCATCCAATACCTACTGGCTTTCTTTTTTTATTTTCTCCCTATCTCAAGTCTGATACTGATATCATAATTATGGGGCACATTTTTTTTGCTTCCTACACTTTCATTAAATTATGAAAAGGCCCCCACGTTATTCACAGAGCTCCAAAAACAACTTTAAATTTCAAACTTTTAATACTTTACAAAAATACCCCTCAGCCTTGAAAAATTATGAAAAATTTTATTTTTATTTCCTGAAGATTAATTAATTTCTTGACTGTGATAATCCACTACATTGTCGCGTAACTAAAAAAAATAAAGAGAAATAAAATAAAGTGTGTCAAATATAATTTTATAATGATAAATTTATGGCTGTCACGAGAAATTTTCTTACTAAATTATCATCTATATTTTACACATAAATTGCTAAATTTATATATTTATAAAATATTAAATTCTTGAATTTATATGTATTTTGATCAAATCATTAAAAATTTAATAAAAATAAAAAAGTATGGATGGATTACCTAGTCAAATGTTCACGAGTGGACAGTTAAAGCTCAACAATATGGCACAATGTTAATATATAAACAACAGTGTTTGGATGATAGAAGTTTAGCAATATTTGTGGCGATTACGAATAGTGGTTGTCGACATTGATTGTAAAAATGTTCAACAGAGTTCTTTAGCTTTTCTAGCACTTAAACCCGCTCCTGTAGGGCCCTCCTGTAGACATGAAATCCTATTTGTAGTTTTTTTTAGAAGAGCATTTTTGCAAATTTGATCAGAACTCAAAATTCCATATCATTTGGTCCAAATTGATCCTTTAATTGCAAATCCTTTATCAAACATTTGAATGTTTTAATGATATCATAATCACGTAACCTTTGGCTCGTTAGATTCATCTTATCAAGCCGCTCAATTTAAGTATAAGCACGTCAAAATTGGAATTAATTTGTTTAGTTCTTCAATTAATGTGGAGAAGTATCTAAATATGTTTCATATCCTTGAGTTGAGCTCATTTGGAGTTGGATCAAATCACTTATAGTGTTGATTGATTTATACCACCGATGCATTAAATTCAGTCAAAAGTTTGCCAAAAATTTGTTGCAATTAGAGCTCAGGTGATCATGAATTTTATTCTAATTTTCTTAAGTTAAAATTATCTTGATATTCATATCATCCTATAAATATTTTGGAGATTTATCATTTGTCCTCTTATTTTAAGACATCAAAGGTTGTTTTATTTTAATATGCATTTTAGAATTAAAAAAAAAAAATAGTTGTGCAAAATTACAATTTTAGAAAAAATTTGTGATTGCTCTATAGATCACATGTAAAATCTCTTTAATTATAATTTCAACTTTCGGATATTGTCTACCCTTCATAACAGACGATGTATCATGAGATTTCGCTAATGCTTCCTTGACTTGTTGTTATACTAATTGCTTTATATCTACAGATAGTACTAACTCTTTTTCTAGCTTTGTTGGTTCATTTTCCACTTCTTCTATATGAGCATGTTTGGTGGAAAAAAATTGTGTCGATGCTACGTCATTAGGTGTCCACCTAAAGAAATCCTAAAGGCGACGTCTACACTAGGCTACGAATACCTAGGTGCTAGAATTGAATCCGGGGAAATTGACCTCGACTAATGAGGTCAACAATGTTCACCTTAAAGTTCAACCTGAACTAACTCATCTAGTGAAGATTTAACTCGTGGTACTAGTGTAGGAGATACCTTGCTTTGCATGAGCAATTATGGTTATCATCTCTTATAACATTTTGTCTATTCCGAATATTTGTTCATCATTCTTATGTAATTATTCTATTAGGGGTTGGGTTGAATATTTTGTGGTATCTGTGTCGACTCCAATATCAATAGCTTTTACTTCACCTTTACCCTTATATTTTTGCCTTTGTTGAGATGAACAAGTTCCTACCATATCAACACCACCAAACATTACTTCATTCCTTTCTACACCTTCTGTTGCTTCTGGTTCATTGATCTAGCAGTGCTTTCTTTTAGATGATCCATCATTTCTTCAATTAATTTTCCTTCCACATGATGTGAATCTACTATATTATATTCTCCGGCAGATGATTATTCTTTATTTCACTACATTATTTCTATGAGCCATTAATGCAGTTGGAGTGGAAATCATTTTGTCTGCCAAACCTTCTCCCCATTAGATAACAAGGTTGGTTGATTTATGAACATAAGGTTGGTTGATTTATGAACATAAGCCTCTTCCTATCAAAGTGAGAAGATGATTAGCTACCTTATAAATGGCGTTGATCGACCTTTGATATCCGTTAACCAAAAGAATGACCAGATGTTCTCAATGGAATGTTTCAAAATTGATTTGATGAAGGAGATATGAGATTATACCCTCAAAAGGCTAATGCTCCACATCCTAAAGATTTAAGATGAGTATATTAGCTCTGCTTATGGGTTGTTGTTGTGTGATGATTATGGTATAAAAAATTCTTCTATTCTCTAAGATAATCTATAATAGCAATCGATCAACTTGAACCTGATTCTTGAAACTCTACTCTCTTCTTAGTGGGAGAGATGCTTCTCACCCTCTCCTTGAGGGTGGTTGAACTCTAGTAGAAATGACATCCTTGATAATTCTCATAAATTCAGTCTTTGACAGCTCGTAACTAGTGGTATAATCATGAATCAATCCATCTAATGATGATTTAAATTTCCTTTCCTTTCAGATAAAGAGGGTAAAGCAGGATTTATGTGAAATGGATTGGGAGAAGAATATGCTATTCTCATTGGATTTTCTTGAAAGTTTGATAAGGATGTTAAGCCAAAGTGAATTTGTCACTAGGCACACCAAGTGGATGAAATTAGTTAATTTAAAACCTAATTGCTAAATTAAAACAACAAAGATAATATTTTTTGAATTTTTTCAATATTTGAAAAAAATGTAGCAATTATCACTCAGTGTGGAAGGAAGACGAATTTATCAAAACATGAAGATAATAATGACAATATTCTAATTAGTAGAGATAGGTGTTGAGTATGATTTTCACTATGCAGATATAAGAAAATTAAGGTGCAAAAAGTAAAATATGGAAAGTAGAATTCAAAACAATCACACGAGAGATTTATAGTGGTTCGATCAAACAATGACCTACGTGCACTCACCTGGGTCTTCCTCTTCGAGTATTGCACTCTCACTACAGTGTTTCTCCTTTTTCCACCATAGGAAGGTGAAGAAGCCCTTCCGCAAATCACTTCTACCAAACCTGATGCGGCGGAAAGCCGAAAGCTTTATCACCCTCCATATGATGATAATGAACCTTCAATCTTTTTCTCCCTCTTACAGAAGGCAAAGTACCTTGAATGCCTTTCTCACCCTTTTGGTGATGGCAGAGAATCATATCCTTGAGCTGAAGAACTTCTCCCTGGAGCCACCCAAGAAACCTAAACAAACACTTGAAGGAATAAGGAAAGACACTTGCTTGGAGCAACTGTGTGAACCCTTCACACATGAGCTCTCTCTCTTCTTCCTAAATCTCTCCTAGATCTACTTCTCAAAGCTCCCTCTTAAGAACATTCAGTAGTCAAAGACAATAAAATAAGTTAATAAAATAAATTAAATAAAAGGCCTCCTAAAAAGCCCTAAATTTAATTCTAGCAATGATAGTCATCCGGTACGATTAGATTAACATACTCTTATTAGTATTGTACAAAAAGCTAGGTACTGTATGTTCAGTTCAAGGAATTGAACTAATTTTTTAAGATGATTTAGATCATCAACCATTATGATTATTTTAAACGACTTAGATTATCATTCAGTACAATTGGCTATTCATCCCATGAATGAATCGAGTTGTATAGTATGATTTGTGAGATCATCCTGTACGATCTGGCTGGATTAATTAAACTAAATTTGTTCACTAATCATAAGATTAATTTAGGTAAGATTTAATTATACAATACAGTATGATTCCTATTATACAGTATGATGAGTATAAAATTTGAATTTCAGAATATTGCTTAAATTATTATTGGTAGCTAGGATCCTTATTTTCAGTTGATCATCATGTATGATATACATCATACATTATGATTAGTTCTTCTTATATTCATTATCATAATTAGACATTTTAATCATTTTCTAATTACCCGATTATACAATATAAAATGGATCGTATAATATAATTTTTTCAGAAAATCTAACTTCTTATATTATCACTCACTCCCTTCAATATTTGTTTGCATGATTATCAAGTTTAGTATCCACCAAATATATGATTTGACTAAAGAAAGATAAAAATGCATAATAAATAAAAATGCTAATTTTTTATGACATACTTGACCCTATTCTATCCAATCATGAGTTGATCAAATTTGCAAGTGAATAATAGACATGAAATGTTAGTGCATAGGAAAAATAGATATGTAATAATAGTAATTAACATTAGATAGCATAGTAAGAAATCTAATAATATTTGTTTTTATTAAAATCATAGGACTTGGGTCCACATTTACAATAATCTCCTATTGCAACTCAGGAATCCTAATTGAGATTGTGATT